GAGAGAGAAAGAGAGAGAGAGAGAGAGAGAGAGAGAGTGAGAGAGAGAGAGAGAGAGAGAGAGAGAGAGAGTGAAAGAGTAATCAGTAAGGAGAATTTGTCCTAACTAAAATACTATTCAATTTCATTTATTTTGCTAATACTTGGTATCTCATGTGTGTCACATGTATCATAGATTGTTGCACAAAACACAATCCTCACTCCTAAGATCACAAAATAATAACTATTTGAGCCAAATATTAAAATCAAATTAATTAAACTAAACTACCTTAATATTCAACCATAATATTTTGTTGTAATAATGCCCAAGCCTGACAGAAATAAACAGCATCATGATAATGTACTAGTAGAACAAATAAGATAATACGAATAAAACAAACACAAAAAGGCTCGATATTGTTAACTCACTGGGGATACTTTTAGGTACTCAGAGCCATTACTCCCTTAGTTAGTACAAAAATTACTTCTAATTTCTAAAAAGAGTAAAGTATTCAAGTTTTAAGTAATTGTGTTAGTACCTAAATATGATGGAGTCCAGATCAAACGGATATTCTATAATGCCAGTAGTAGGAGCTCGAGCCCGAAGAATGTCTTGTTCAGTAGGAAGGAAGTCGGGTTTTTCGATACGCTCTAGGTCACTAAGATAACTGCAAAACAAACGAAGCCATAGTCTGATAGTGCATGCCATGCATGTAGTAAAGGTGATTGTGAGGAGAGGAGTTATCGCGACAACAGCTTTCATGCGCGTTCTCCTCGCCTGGAAGAATTTTCGACAGTGAATTGCTCATTGAACCATTTTTCAAGTTTTATGACACACGAGCTGGTGGTAGAAATGGATTCATAGATATTTTTCTCTTTCAGATATATCATAAATATGTCTAGAGCATTAACATTATAATCAACCAGTTGAAAGACAAATTCATATATGCCTTCACATTTCATGTATGCCTAATCTTACTTTTTGTTAGTTAACAGTACAAGCTGTTTTACTACTATACATTATATATGCATAGTGTATTTATTGCCTAACACAATAACAACAAGATTCCCCAATATACCCTACTTCGTTCCTACATAAAACATCATAATAATTTTCATCACCCTGACATTGTTTACAGTTTTATGATGCGTATTCCTTGAGAAATACATTGCATTGAGGAAATACTTAGACAAGTAGACGGCTACCCACATGTATCAAGAAACACGTGTTTTTTAATCTTTTTTAACACTTAACAATGTGTGACTTAAGCAGAATAAAAAAACGGCGATATTGATATTGATATTCCAGCGACATATCTTGTTAGATGCCAAGATATACATCTAAAAGCGTACACTTCTTTAATACGGAAAAAAAAGAGAAATTATCATTTAGGAATTGACGTTATTTAAATAATATCAAATTATTATGAAAGTTGTACCTCCATTACAACAAAAAAATGTTTATTATTTACGATCAATTTTACGCATACATATTCCTGGATCTTTTTGAAATTGCATGGACTTGTAGAACTTGGCACATCAGAAAAACATTTTGAGTTTTTCTTTAACCTCTTAGGTACGATGCGCCACTATAGTAGCTCACTTTACTGACTCATTCGCTCACCGTTTGAACTAAATGATCTTTTTCATTTATCTTGCTTCATACTTTTTTCCCCTCACAACGTTTTATAACATTGCAGTGTTGCATTATTCACGCGTAATTCGCATCAAACTCTGCCGTACAGAGTAACAGCCCGCGCAAAATTCAGCCGTACCTAAGAGGTTAAGGGGGTATCCTAGTGTGAACTTTTCAAAAAATCAATTTATTTTTTCATATCCTTGGAGGATATAGTTTCAAAATATATCTCTGAAACCTTACATGCAAACTCCTAGAATTAACGAAGTCATGATTGTTTGATTTTCATTATATGAATAATCATTATTATTATACTAAATTCTAAAGGCATTTTTCTGAAAACTATGTTTTTCAGAACGGTGTCCATGATATTTCAAAACCTACTTGACCAATTGACTCAAAATTTTAAGTACAGATGTAGTACATGTGTGATTACAGCCTCTACTAGAATCAATCAAACACTTTTATATTTTCTATTTTTTTAGACCCCTCCAAAGTTTAACAAAACAAACAAAAATCGATAATCAAATTTCAAAGTATCGCTACTTTTTTAATTACCAATTTTTTTGTTTTGTTCTAGCTCCTATTATAACCAAATTTATACTAATTAAAGAACTTTTACGTTTTTTATTTTAGACAAGCAGAATGACCGGAATCATGGACACCGTGAGACGAACTTTTTTAAAAGCGACTATGTTTGAGAATATTCAGTGCTACTAATTTTAACTTTTTTTATTCCAACGTCGTTGAAATACGTACAAATAAACCTTGTAAATTTGATTGCAAAAGGTATAATAATTTCTTCGCTAAAAATTCCCTAAAAAAATTAAAAAACACGCACTTCACACTAGAACACTTCCTTAAAGAATCACGTGACAACATAACTTCTACATTATTATGCACGTTTCTAATTTTTAAACTTACAAATTATCCAGATGAGCTGCTTACAATAGTATCTATGAAACGTTTTTCTAATATCGTGTAGAATTTCATGCTAGGATATGCATAATTACATGCACAGAAAATAGAAATTCTTTTTCCATCGATCNTTTTCTTTAACCTCTTAGGTACGATGCGCCACTATAGTAGCTCACTTTACTGACTCATTCGCTCACCGTTTGAACTAAATGATCTTTTTCATTTATCTTGCTTCATACTTTTTTCCCCTCACAACGTTTTATAACATTGCAGTGTTGCATTATTCACGCGTAATTCGCATCAAACTCTGCCGTACAGAGTAACAGCCCGCGCAAAATTCAGCCGTACCTAAGAGGTTAAGGGGGTATCCTAGTGTGAACTTTTCAAAAAATCAATTTATTTTTTCATATCCTTGGAGGATATAGTTTCAAAATATATCTCTGAAACCTTACATGCAAACTCCTAGAATTAACGAAGTCATGATTGTTTGATTTTCATTATATGAATAATCATTATTATTATACTAAATTCTAAAGGCATTTTTCTGAAAACTATGTTTTTCAGAACGGTGTCCATGATATTTCAAAACCTACTTGACCAATTGACTCAAAATTTTAAGTACAGATGTAGTACATGTGTGATTACAGCCTCTACTAGAATCAATCAAACACTTTTATATTTTCTATTTTTTTAGACCCCTCCAAAGTTTAACAAAACAAACAAAAATCGATAATCAAATTTCAAAGTATCGCTACTTTTTTAATTACCAATTTTTTTGTTTTGTTCTAGCTCCTATTATAACCAAATTTATACTAATTAAAGAACTTTTACGTTTTTTATTTTAGACAAGCAGAATGACCGGAATCATGGACACCGTGAGACGAACTTTTTTAAAAGCGACTATGTTTGAGAATATTCAGTGCTACTAATTTTAACTTTTTTTATTCCAACGTCGTTGAAATACGTACAAATAAACCTTGTAAATTTGATTGCAAAAGGTATAATAATTTCTTCGCTAAAAATTCCCTAAAAAAATTAAAAAACACGCACTTCACACTAGAACACTTCCTTAAAGAATCACGTGACAACATAACTTCTACATTATTATGCACGTTTCTAATTTTTAAACTTACAAATTATCCAGATGAGCTGCTTACAATAGTATCTATGAAACGTTTTTCTAATATCGTGTAGAATTTCATGCTAGGATATGCATAATTACATGCACAGAAAATAGAAATTCTTTTTCCATCGATCTGTTCGCAGAGTGCCATTCGTACGAGGTTCGCTGTGCTTGTACTTGCCACTTTTTGATCGGTCCGTGCTTGGGAAAACCAATTTGTGAAGACAATTGTTTCTAGTAAATACATCGTTTCCAATAATACTGTTTACATCTGTTTCGTCGCAAGAAAAATGGATTTCTCAATTGTAGTGGACGGCTACGAAGAGATGAACACCGTTTTCTCTCTGTGTTTACGGGCTTGAGACCGGCATTTGGCCACATTAAAAACGGATTTATGGATTTTCGGAACAGCGTTCTATTCGTCGTTTTTAACACGTTGGCTTTTTTATTAATTGGCATAAACGAATAAAATTTTTAGATCCTTAAAAGAAATTCGGCTGATTCAATTTTTTCGCTTATCGAGGAAGTATCTCTTTGCTTACTTGCTCTTGCAATCAACATTAGAAAAACATAGAAAACAAAACATTAAGAAAATTGATTTCTCTCCGTTTGAGCAATTCCAGGTATGGAAATTAAATTGATATTTGTATCTGTACACTTGATCTCAGAGGAGTGGCACACTGATAGTGTAGATGTTCGTTTTAAAATGCCACAACAGTCCGTAAGATCATCTTGCATTGGAAATCAGTAATTTATAAGATACATTTTGGTTTTATATCAGGTAACAGTACCATAAAAATAATGGTACCATAAATATAATTACAAACTTAATTTCAATAATGTTGCAAGAAAGAAAGAAATTTATTTTCGCTGTATCGTTTTTCTAAAATTGAGAATAACTGCTTTGTAGTTTTATGATTAAATTGTATAGCGACAACTTGTTTCATGAAATTTTCAACAAGGTCTTCGGACGAAGTTCCATTTATTAATTTAGTGCGATCGTTGGTCAGTTTTTGAATGTACTCAAAATCCGCTATGCTGTTGACCAGCGAGAATATTATTTTTAGTTGCAACAATGTATATTTCTAATGTGTATCTTCGAATTTGATGAATCGATACTTGTTCTATACTAGACGTAAACATCGCCAACGAGTTCGCGAATTGATGTTTAAAAACCCAACACATTTATCGTCGATTCAAGAACAATGTTCAATGCGTATCTTAGACGTATAAAATAATTTTTCGTCTAGTGTTCAATTTAGACATATTTTATGAAACGCGAAACCCGGAAGCACAGGGAGAAAACGTTATCGATAAACTTCTATTCCAATCCTAATAATATTGTGTAAGTAGATGTAAATAGTATTATTGGAAACGATATTGGTTTTTTCAAGCGTGCACTTCACGAAGGAAGTTGGTACAAGTACAGTGGAGTCCGTAGAAACGTCCCACGGACAGATCATGTTGGACGAAAATAATTTCTATTTTTGGTAATTATGAATACTTTAGCGGGAAATGTATAGACTTCAAGCGTTAAAAAGGCGCGTTTCTGTTTACACATTCATCCTCTTATTAGCTGCTCCACTGCCATAGCTATTAGTCGCTATTGACCGATGACCATCTTCGTCACAATCTTCGGCCAGTAGCGACTAATAGTTGCGGCAGTGGGCCTGCTAGTAAGAGGGGGAATGTAAATACAGGGATGCTGTTTCATCGCGTGAAGACTATACTTAGTATTAGGCGAACATTTCATAGATACTATCGAAAGTATTCAAGTCAATCCATCGATCTCCTTTGAATGATTTTTAAGTTTGGGAAATCGAAATATTATTTATAGCTATTTCGAAGTTGCGTTGTCGTATTTAGTATTCTTTTAAATTAAACTTTAAAGTTCTACGAATAAAATGCTTTAAGTATCGAATACGAGTTCGTGCACAGAGTTCTATGTGTTCTTGCAATTTTATAAAATTCCAAAAACACACGTAGAAAAGTTGAGGCAGCGATTGCCTGTATTCCAAACGTAATACGGAATTTTATATTGATAAATAATACGGAGGATCAAAATGATATTATCAACATCGTTAATATTTGCTCGCAAACACCTTTTCTACGCGTTACGACGAAGTATGATGTATGTATCCCGTACATACATTAATATTTCTTGCTCGCATACAATATTTCCTCGATATAGTTACGCCACTCGGTTCGCATAACGTGATTATAGAGAGCCGTGGATACGATTTTGAGATCGTTTCATTCTGACGGAGACAAAGGGGGGCACTAATAAGCGAATGAGTGGGAACGAAAGCCTAATAATGTGGCAGGGATGGCGATGCCATTATATGTATGTGTAGGAGACGACAAAACTTAATTATCAAAGAGAAATTTACTTCATGCGTTGTGTTTCATGTAATATCATATTATATAGAATTTTGTATGCACTTTTTGACAGCGATCGAAACAGATTGGACACTTTGTAAGCGAATGGCGTACTTATGTCGAGCTGAATGTCATACATAATCATCTGAATGTCATACTTTTTCGACTCGATATCATTCTACAGTTAATACGATACACGCGAAATAATACTGTTTTCCAGGTATTCGTTATCTGGATTCTATATTGGACTTAGATTCGATTCCATTAATTCCTATCGATCTAAGGAAGAATCAGGGAGATATTTATGGAAAAGAAGACGTCGTGTGTCACAAATGTCTTGGAAAATATCAATGAAGCTTCTGCGATGTCAGTGGAAAAGAAACAAATCACAAACAGAGTAAATGATGATTCTTGATGTAGAAAAGTGAGATCGATGATTCACAATGGATGCAGTCACGATGCAGAAAGAGTCCGGTGTAAGTAGTTGACAGGCACATGCAGCTTCTCCCATTTTTTTGCACGACCAGACGTACCTAAATCGAATCTCTGCCAAGTCAAAAGGATATTCAATTATACCAGTAGTGGGCACTCTCACACGAAGAATGTCCTGTTCTGTGGGGAGGTAGTTTGGTGCCGCGACTCGATCTATTTCCATTAGGTAACTGAAACATCATTTTCTCAATACTTGACACGCGAGAGGAAGCAGAGCATCGCTCGTGCTCGTGATACGTATAATGTCGTCTATTTCGACGGGATATTTCGTTAAATATTTCGATAAATATGTCGACGAATATTTAAACGAATCGTTTGACATATAGTAAGGCGAATATATCGACATGGTGCACAGTGTTCGAAAACTGCGATTTAGACGCGAGAAACTATATTTTGCCACAAACGTGGATGAATTCCTGGAAGCAAATATTTCAATGATGTTAACATTAAGTGGACATCATAATTTTAGTATTATTCTATGTTAAATGAAGATTAAATTACTTAATGAATGAAAGCAACAGAAATATATTTGTGATAAATGTTTCAGTGTTACATAACATTTTTATATAATTACAGAATGTGTACAAATACCGAAAAAATAGTAGCACATGATGAAAAAGATAAAAAAAGAAAAAGAATAATAAAATAATAAAAAAAGATAATACATATTTTTAGAATAAATTGATCTATATCACTAACGCTAATAAATGTACCCCAGATTTTTAGCAAACGTAACACTTCTGATGGAAGTAAGTCAGATATTTTATTTCTTTTCTTCAATCTTAACGAGCTTATTAGTAAATGTAAAGATACTAAAACAATATGTAAGAGGTCTTCCATACGTTCGTTTCTAGAACATTTTCTGCTATTAAACCATCTATAATTTTTAACATCTTCATTCGGTGCTTCTTGAGCTTCTTTCGATAATATATTCCTCCTATGAGTAGCAATGTATTTTTAATAATGTCAGCATCGCGGATTAATAGCTTCAGATGCACAAGTATAACAATGTAAAGTGTCGGGTGTCGTCGGAATTGTGAAATAATAAATATAGAGTGAAGAAGAGTAAATAGGAAATAATTTATAATTTATTTTTAAAAATTATAATAAACACAATAATAGAAACAATAGATTCGATGATTTCTTCCAGATATAGTCTTCTGCTAACGTTATTATTAAATTTTCTGCTAATATTATTAAATAACTCGCAGAGAAATTAGTAGCTAATTTTCACAGATATCAAAAAACTGAACCAAAACTATAGTGGTTTCATTTTGACCAATACGTACCAATCTGATAACTTCTGTTCCAAAAACTGACAATAATTGCATACTAAAATTTATTCTCTTTGATGAAGTGTATTTAAAACTCCCGTAGATTTTTATGAATCATCTTTATTTTACAATAAAGTATCTACCTTTCTGCGCAAAAGTCATTAACTACAAAAACAAATACTTATAATACCATTATTTCTTACAAGGAGAAATATAAACTACAATTGAATATTTCTAAGAGTAATAGAAATTTTGAACTTCTGTGCCAAAATTATCTTATTTAAACAATTTTTACAGATAAATCATAATCCAAATGAATACCCTGGAGGTTTCACGAATCTAATGACATCAAATATTAAAGGCCTGAAGATAATTAAAAAAATGGGTTTCTCGCGTCTAAATCGCTGTTTTCGAACACTGTGCGGCGCGGCGCAAGAAACCGAGGCCAGTGTACCCATTGACACAACTAGGATCTTTGTCTATAACGAGACGAGAAAGTAGAAGTAAATAAAAGGTTCACGTGATCGTTGTTGCGGCAGCAGTTGAGCGGTCGCTACTCAAGAGAGAATTTGTAATGGTCCTTTAGCGATAGCCCTTGTAAGCAAGTCGAGGTGGAATTTTAATTCTCGAATTTTGTTTAGGTATACAGTAACTTCCGTTAATATTCGAACATTTTTTAAAACGCAGTAACATTTTTTAGAACTGGACTAAATGGCTTGAATTTTTGTTTAGACGATAGTGTCCGGTCTAATAGAACATTACTGGAATGCTTTTTTCATTTTGCTATTGCTTAGAATGATAAAAGAAAGTAAAATACTCTCTTTTTTAACTTTTTTATCTGAGCCTATAACAAAAATTTAAAACATGTGTTTTGTAGATCTCGGTCAATTTCATCGAAATCGGTCGACCTTGGTACGACCAATTCATATATGTATATATGTACTGCGATCCATAAAACGGATTTTAAAAATTTTCGTTATAGGCTCAGGTAAAAAAGTTCAAAACGAGAGTTTTTTATATTGTTTAATCATTCTAAGTTGTTTAGTCAGTGTCTAATACACTAGTCTCTCCATCATTTAAAAAAAAGATCGCATCGTTTATTCCAGTTTTAGAAAAGTTATTGCGTTTTAAAAAGTGTCCGAATATTAATAAGAGTCACCGTATTTATACTGTCAAGCAATAATTCAATAACATATTAAGAATAAGTAACTTAATATTTAGAAAAATAGCTTCTTATTTCCTTGTTTTTTTTAGGGTACCCAAAATTGTGTGCCGGCCCTGTTCTACCCATGCGTCGATCACGTGTAGTTGCCTTCTCTACTCTCTCGTTACGTTGGGCGGGCTATGAGGGGGGGGGGGGAGGTCCCTTGACCAGTGCATACGCTAAAAGTTATTATGCAAGGAGTGGGGTGGAGACGCATGCGCTGGAAGTACCGTACAGCGGCGTGAAGCGTCTACCGGGTGAACATTATAATTCTGAACTATGATGGCGACGCGACGCAGTCTCTGCTTGATCGTAGTGCAGAATTGTAATGTTCGCCCGATAGACATCCCACGCCGCTGTGCAGGTCTCCCGCGCATGCATCGCTTGCGTCCATTTCTTGCGTAGTGACTTTTCGTGTATACACTGCCCTTGACTTTATGCATTGTATGTATACTTTATATAGACCGTATAGGTCCCTGGATTATACAAAATAACGTTACACATTTCACAATAATTATTTATATATTTATTTATTACCAAAATTTAAGAGAATAGGAAGATATAAACATAATTCTTAAAAATAAAATAAAATACAGAAACGAAAACAATTTGAGATCGATAAAAAATTCAGTCAATAATTTATTGTAATGAGGATGGTATTTTTTGTGTTCAGTTACACTGCATATTGCATTTTAGTCCAACAATTTGATTTTTCTAACATAAGATTTGACTAACTCGCGAATGCTTTTTTTAAATATTTCAGTCGCTTCTCTCTCTTGATAGGGTCTCGTGACTCGAACGAAACCATCACATGTTTGGTGAAAAGATTGTGTATAGAGAATGATATAATCTTCGTGGTTTTATATTAATTATTATTTTTATTAAATTTAATTAATTTCACTATTTTCGAAAGTTATGGATATTTATCAAGCGACATAGATTTGATAAAAGACGATTAACCAGTAAATTGATTTTTAGCGAATGAACTGCTAATTTTATTCAATCTGGACCATTATGCAGGTGGGTCAACTCCCAATCCCCCAGCCCCTACCTAGTTACGCCAACGAATATAGGGAAAGTGTTAGAGATGAGTTTTAGTATTTCTACTCAATATCAATATTTGTGTATGTAGCGTGCAAAAAAGTTTGAGTCAACTATGAAATGTGATGTGAATTATGCATACTTGATAAGCTGCATAATAATCGTGTGGGCAATATCAAGAAAACCACTATACACTGACAATGAGTGACCCGATACGACAGGTCATGCTTCTACAATATTAATGAAGTCGCGTTATAAAAGTAATACTCACAAAACGTCCGTACATCTAACAAGGTTTATCAACAGTGACTATATCGTATCCTAACTCACGAGACATCCCCAAAGCAGCAAAACTTCTCAGCGTATTACTGTATTATTTCACCATTACATTTCGTATAAAAATATCATTTATATAGTTAAGATTTTCACATCGCTCATGAGGTACTATCGTTAATGGCTTTTTTTGTCAGTGGTATCACCGCAGTCCTATTCCACTGTGTCGCATGATAATTTTGGATCGTCAATAAATATGGAAAATAATGCTTGGTATATCACTAATATCCGCAGCAAGGTCGGAAGTAGCTGTTCGCCTCGCGAACGATAATGAAGAATCGCTTAGCGATCTATGTCACTCTGACTTAATGAAGCGCATCTTTGAAAAGGAGCATTCGTACAAATAAAATGATTCGAACATTGAGAATATTCCTTAATAAAATTGTGGAGATTTATTTTCCATATTTATCGTCGATCCGAAATTATTGCGCGACACAGTGGAATAGGCTTGCAGGGGATACCACTGACAAAAAAAACATTAACGATAGTACCGCATGGGTGATGTGGAAATCTATTGATACAAGCATCGCCCTAATGCGTCACAAACAGTTACTACGGTACGCGCCTGAGATGTTATGAGTTCGATTGAGGTAACGCGGGGAGCGAGACGCTGCGGCGGTAGTCAGGAGGCGTAGCCCTCGCAGCATCAATGTTACGTGCACGGTCGTTCCGAGCCCTGGATCTGGATAATCGAGTTTCTATTGTATTTGAAATCACCAGAAATCCGAGTTGCCCTTCTATGTATTTATCAAATCCATTACGATTTTCTTTCCGAAACAAATACACAAGTACTAAATACTGCAAAATTTCGACCCATACATTTTTGCACATCCTGTATCTTACATAGTTGTATTGTGGTATAAATTTTTGGATTGAAATTACATTAAGCCACAAACTACATTACGAAGGTAATTCGGAAGGCTTTAAAAATATAATCATATACATGTATATGTGTATGTATGTGCTCTGTTATGTTCGACACGTAAAATTCTCAGTTGTAAACAAGTTTTCATATAGATTCGATTTAACAAACATATCAACAGTTACGACAGAGACGAATTGAAATCTGAGTCGCGTTATCGATTAATATTCGTGAGAGGAGAAAAGAAACGATTATCTTCTCGAAGAAAAAACGTGTGATTATGACAGGTAGGAAGTAGGGCTACTTACTATTTAGCGGAGTCTGTGAGCTGATATTCTCGTCTGCGATCGTAACACTGTTCGATGCCAGCATCTGCCCATAAGTCCTTGATTGCTTCTACATATGGACTTTCGAACGTTGTCACCGTTTCAAAATCCACAACACGCACGAGTTCCGCTTTTTCCTACGATAAACACAGGTACATGCATTTAAGTGCCATAATTATGTTTGTAATGGCACATTTCAATCATTTCTACTGGTTTTTGCAATTTAAAACAAAAAATTACATATAAGATCGCTACGCTTCGAATAGCGTTTGAATAGCGAAAACTCTTGGAAAACCCATGGAATTTCAGAAATGTCTGATTTGAACGCATTCTAACGTAATTTTATTTTCGTTTTATGCTCAAACGGTAATGCTCGAAAACAATTTTTGCATTACGTGCACGAATCAGTAAATAAATGTTCTTATAATTAAGCGAAAGTCAATACTTTTGCTGTCAAGTTGTATTAGGAGATCTTTGAAATAATTTAGTCAATGCATCATGAGATTTACGCGGTTTCTAAAAGTTAGACTTGTTACAGAAACCATGAGCCGCAAACTGTGATATTCACGAGTCGCGCCGAGAGTCTGTGACGTGATCATGGGTCATACTAATTGCGCGAGCGCGCAATCAATTGGTGAGTTACGATGGTCAAATTTTAGAGAGCCTAACCCACACGTGGGTTACAGTAGATTATCTAATGCTGTTCGTGGCTCACGTGAGCTTCGAAAACTTCTTCATGTGGGGTCTACTGTTTACACGATAACCAAACTAACACGAGCTTTAAACTTCACGAGTCACACGTAGATCACTGATATATTTAACTCATTCTAAATCTCTGCTGGAAATCAGCGTGCGTGTGCTCGTACTTCTGTGTATTCGCTAAATACCATAATTATTACAATAACATGAAACAAATCGTTGAATAACAATTGTTATTTTCAGTCGAATGTTTTCAGTTATAAGTAATAATTCTATCCAGGATTCGCGAAAGTTTCGGAACTCTTTCGTAAGCTACACTGGAATTTATTACACGCAGTACTTTTTGAAAAACGTTCTCGTATTACAGGTTCCAATAAGAATAGATATAAAAGAATTCTTGAAATTAATAGTATTGGTTTCGCTAGAATTAATAAAATTTGAAAATAATAGTTCTATAACAGGAACAGATATTTTGTCGATGAATATAAAAAAAAGTTCTGAAACATAATAACAAGTGTCAAATATTACTTAGTCTAATGATTATTCTGGTTATACATCAAGAATGATTTCTTTGGAGCGTTAGTTCATTAGATTATTGGGAAGGTAGGAAGTATAAAATTACGTAACTTCACAAGGCAGCACCAATTATTATTAATGGCGTTACTGCTACGCAAGTTAGCGTTGAACGTGCCTTTTCAACACTGAAATTTATATCGAGTGATTTTAGAAATGATTTAAATCCTAGAAATCTAGAAGATGTCTTGCTTACATTTCGATTTTTACATCGTTTCTTCAATTTGTAAATAAAATATTATTTTATTATATTATTTTATCACGTAATAACGTGATATTGTTAAATAAATCTAGCAGACAATAATTCGATGTTTTATTATTTCATTTTATTTATTTCTTTAATCAACATTTTTAAAAAATTTGTTTTGAAAAGTTTCCAAGAGGTAACAATTTTTTTCGTAAAAATTCTACAGAAATATAAATTTCGTTCAACGAAATGAATTTTTTTCATAGCGGAGGTACTTGTTTGTTTTGTGAACCCTGGTTATAATGTGATCGAAATTCTCTTTTCGTTTTCTATAATCGTTACCGGTGACGGAAAGTTTGAGTTAGCCATAACTCAAACATAAGAAAATATATTTGTATTATTTACAAAGTTATCGGTGATGGAAATTTTATTTCAAATGACCATAATAATTAGTAAGTGAGAAAAATTGTATTTCGATCAAATATGATAAGGGCGTGTCAATACTTCAGAGAATAAATCCAAACACCGAAACAACTGAAAAATGTTACGTGAACATAATATGTGCAAACATTGCGTTGCATGAGTGATATATATATAGAAACCGATTGTAGTTATTGGCCTTGCTTAACGGAACAAATTCTAAATATCAATATTTTTTTCAGTGATTTATAACATAATCGTAATAATTATTTAGTTGAAAGTATTAAACATTTCTTATTTTAATTGTGAAATGGTTTAATTACTTATGATGAATTCAGTTTTATTGTCTCGTAATTACACATCCATTAAACCTGCCGGTTTAATTGTAATCATTTTTTTTTCTGGAAGCGTGCTGGGGTCTAATCGGGACATTTTTGAGAAAAAGAGTTTGTACAACGAAATAACAAGAAATGGATGTGTTCCGTTTGATTCGGCACACATTCTATTTAAACGATTGTACAGAAGAAGTTTCGAAAAGTTTAGATAAATTGTTCAACTTTCCATTTGTAGAAGTTAACAAAAACAAAAGCACAACTATCGAGAATGATTTTTATTTTCACCTAATAATGGTTGATAGCAGTACATATTTGTAATGTTTTGACAAAAATAAATGGAACAATGTTACATTTGTGGTGCCAAACCAAGTGAAATATACTTCGACTAAGGTTTTCGTTTATCCTCCCTCCATTGTTGGATACGAATTTTTGAATGTTTACTACATATTATCTATAGGCTATTTTGAAGGATATGAAAGGGAGCGTTTCGTCCTGGTCCTTCCAGAGCAGAGTTTAGAATAAAGCTGTGCGCAACATAAATACCGCGAAGGCTGCTATGCCTTCTGATCAGTGCGGTCACGAAAAATCACTACGCAAGGAGTGGGGACAGGCAACGCATGCGCGGGAGTCCCGCAGTGATATGCACTACAATGCTGTATCATAAACAATAAGTGTTAATACGTCCGCAACACACGAACGTTCGAGTAATCTGATATTGTCGGGCGGTCCGATACAATTGGGATTTCGGACACAAACGAGCAATATAAATAATGTAATTATCTTAAGGGCGATTAATTTCTAAACATAAAAATAAAAACACAAATAGTTTTAGATATAGTTATATAATTTTATTTTAAAGTGACATGTAAAAAGCGCAACTCCGTTATTATATTGCCAGAGAGCGAAAATAATCGCTAACTTGTTACTTGGGTTGCAGGTATTCTTAAATAATATTTTGCAACTGTGCTTAATCTTGTCTCATCAGATTTCCACCAATTTGAAATATTTATTAATTTGGCGTGATAATACGCCTTCCGAAAAATAAGTTTATATTTCTCAATTTTTGTGTGTATCAAAATTGCACGTTTCAATTTCCGGATTGCTCAGTGTTTAAAAAAATCTAATTATCATGACTTTCTTCCATCTGATCAGTAATACAATGAAGATTTCGAAGTTAATGCAATTAATCAAGAAACATTTTACGTACTACATAAAAATAATAAAAACGTACCATTTCAGCTAGTTTATTATTCTAAATTAGTATTTTATTAATTTCTCATCAACCAAAATAATGTTCTATTTCGTTGTTGTTAGTGCACAACCATTGAAGATCATATAGGCATACAATAATTATAAATTTTTATTTTCTTCTAGCAAATTATGAACTACAACGAAATTTGAATCATTGCAACCGAAAAATAAATCGTTTTGCAAGGGGTTGAATTCATTTAAATCATTTAAAATCATTTATTTCAAAAATCATTTCATCACAACTCATTGATTAGGTGAACATTCTGATAAGTAGATTCTTTTAGTAAGACGTTGAAAATGAAAAAAAAAGAGCGAGATTTATAGCCTGAAAATGTGAGCTGAAGTATCACACAAAGGTGACAAACTGCTCAAATATGTCGGTTTGTTCCCGAAATTTCAATTATATTGGATTCCCCGACAATATCGTCCGTACGTCTCGGACACCCGACCGAGACCGCCTGACTTCGTCCGACCCGAACCGATCACTTGGACGTTCGAGATAAGATAGCCCGCAAGCTTCTACCTTCGTCTGATCGTAGTTCAGAATTATAACGTTCATGCGGTAGACGCGCCACGCCGCTGTGTGGGACACCCACGCATGCGCCGTCTGCCCCCACTCCTTACGTAACTTATTTTCATGTATACGCTGGTCGAAACTCCCATACAGCGTAGTGGGGAGCACAATGGATGTTCCTATCCCTTTGTATTATACCTCTGCGTGACGACTCGTTCCTAGTTCAGAATTATAATGTATAACCCGTTACAGTGCCCACTCTGCTGTACGAGAGTACCGGCTCGGCGCGTCACGTGACCTATCCGCACTTCTTCTATATGAAATCTATGTTATTCACTTCATTTTAAAGTGCTCTGGGAATTGTATCAACCGTCATACTAACCATCCTGTATAATATTTTACAGAACTAATCTACGTAAACCAAGCTATTTTTGATATTGTATAACTTTAGTGAACACACATTCTTTAAATCTTTAAAAATAACAAAGGTAACTATATAAGATGATCAAACTTAGCGATCCAGTCTGTACAATGAGCGCGTAATTTAACGATATTTTTATTTTCTTTCCTCGTATTTATAGTAGTGTAATCAATAACGCCTATACGTAGATGAAATCTTGTATTAAAAATGATGAAGGATTCAATTCGTTTAATTATTTTATTTGTTGTATGTCCTGCAACTAACATCATTGTATGATTATATATTAAAGTAATATAAATTAATCAATAAAAGCCTTTCGAACTAAAAGTTGTTTTTATGTTGTGTGGAGCTTGTATTTTTTAAATAGAAAAGCAAGGCTCATTTCCTGAAATAGAACGCACGCGACCTTTAGCAGCTCATTAATGATGTTATAATTTTAAAACCACTACACTCATTCGAAGTTTTATTTGTAAGTATATAACATACAGGGTGAATCATGAATCGTGATCAATTTAGATTACTTTGTTTGTTAACAGGTCGATCGAAAATTTGTTTATCAAGCATACCACAATTCGGATTTTTAACTTTGAGACGATTGTAATTAATTTTTACACCATCCTGTTTTATTTTTAAGAAATTTTCAAGGTCACTTTGATTTTTTTGTGTAAGTAAACCTTTCATTTTTTATATTTATATTTATGTTTATAAAAATTTCTAATGATACCTAACGAATTTATTTTAATATGCGCTCGAAGATACCTACGTGTAAACAAATTATAGATTTATTTATAAATAATCCCAGGTGACTTTGAAAACTCTTGGCAAAAATGGAGTTGACAAAAAATTTACTACAATCATTTCACAGCTCTTTTTGAATCGTGCTACGCTTGATAAACAAATTTTCGATCGACCTGCTAATAACAGAGCAGTTTAAATTGATCACATTATGTGGTTCGCCCTGTATATCTTTTAAATTTATGTATATTAAGCAAAACTTTCCTGATTGAAATAAAAAAAAGAATTAATACATTCCGACAGATAGCTTTTAAGATAAAAATTGAGCCAACTTTTGTCACAATGGTCAGGAATTGCAAAATTTGAAGGTCAGCAAAATAATGACTTGCATGTAGTACAATAATTGATTATTATTAAATATTATTAATAATAATTGATTATTATTAAATGGTCTATACAATTTTCCTGTTTACGTATGTTCAACTTATTTAATTAATTTAAATGTATTATTAATCAATAATATTCTACAACGCATTATTTAAAATAATAATTCAATCTGTATGATTAAATGTTTTTGTTTGCATCAATCGTTATTCTAAGAAAATCTTTGGCAGCCTCAAAGAAAAGAAAGGTATATTCTTCACAAATTAACTTTGAATTTATGTGTCATTATGTATCATTTACACAATACTTCAAGTGTGTCAAGTGTCTTAAGTGTTGCCAACTTCGAAAGTCTGTATTTATCGAGCGGCTACTGTATAAAAAGGATTCGTTTTTGGTAGTTAATCTCCTTGAATCATCTAATTTCCATAGAAAATACTTTTTTGTATCTTCAATTGTTTCCGTGATAATGAATTACACAATAACTTCGTCAGTTAAAGAAATAAAATTCAATTTTAATTAAGACCATGCTGTGTTTATAATACTCTCATATTCTACAAAGTTTATGTGAAGTTTTTGTACGTGAATTCGAAGCTGGTCGGGATTGCTATCATTCATTGAGGTAGTTATACATACAATTCTTTACATTTGCATTTAACGACAATGAATGCTTCAAATGTAGATAAAAGTAATCCTAAATTTATTAGCATATTTCTGTTTCGTTTTAGTTCCTTTTTAAAGCAGTGGTTATGATTTAGATTAATGTGCTATTAAAAAGTTACAATATTATTCGTTGTCCAGGTGACAATGTATCCTACATCAGCAAAGAATGAAGTATTATGATGGTAGAAAGAAAATCAGTAACAAGTGTGAGTAAGAACAAAAAAAAAGGGTGATTAAAAATGATTAAGTTTGTGGAAGATACCTGGGTACAAAACAAGAAAATTAGCAAATAGTGGAAAAGTATTCTTATACATTATATGATAAAGATAAGAGCATTTAGATGAAGAGAAGAAAAGGTGAGAGTTACAACTTCATGCAAGAGACAGTCGAAAAGAGAGGGTTTTGTGGACAAATAAAAGAGGAAAGGAAGAAGACGCAGGAATTATGAGTGGATGGTGAATTGAGATTAGAAACATGGTGAAATTTATGGACTTGCACAGAACTGTTCAACAGCTTGTCTGTAGGGACAGCAATTTTTAGTTCAGAGCAAACACCGATCGACGGGTTCTAGGCTCTACTCCCGAGAGCAACGATACCCCTTCCTTAGCTCCTCGTGAGACTGCCCACCAGTAACGATACGTTATTTGGCTGAAGACGGTGACAGAGATCAACTGCAGGTTACGTCGAGATTGAGTGAAATAGAATCAGCATCGCACGATCGACAAATAACAGCAATGCGTACACGTGAGAGAGGAAGGATAGCATGAAAACGTAAACACTTTGCTCTTTTCGCCGTAGCTTTGCCCTTAGCTTGTTACTTAGCCTTTGCTCACCGAGAGGCCTGTTGAACAACTCTGGACTAGCAGATAGCAGTAGGAAAAATACATGGTTCACGTATTAACGCATATTAAATTGGAAAAATAGAAGAACCTAAAAAGACGGAATAATACTACGCGATTAAGAAAATAATATGAGAAAAGCAAAAATATATTGCAGACTTGAAAATATGGAAAAAAGCGAAACGATCGTGTGAAACAGAAAAGTGCCAAAGAATCAAAGAAGATAATAGGAATTAGAAATGTGGACGTGATTAATTCTCTACAGTGAGATTTGGGTTTTCAAAGTCTGTTGCATATGCATGGAATAGCATAAAACTATTTCCAAATAACTCGCACTCGGTTCTTTTAACTTATTTTTTCAACCATTTTTCTCTTTCAATAATATTCAAACAATCTCGGCAAACAATAATATTCATCTTTGTTATGTGTCTGCACGAAACTAAAAACTGTTATTGTTATATTTTCAGAACGAATTAAAGCACGGGTATATTAATTATACGTGTACTTATCTATTTCGAAAGCCGTGCACACGTGAACCCGTGCATTATGAAGCAAACGGATCAATACACGGATGTGCACGTATATTTAGGTGCACGCGAAATGGGAACCTCTACTATACAGTTAGCATTTTCAACAAAAAAATTGCAACAAATTTCTTCGTGTACCGTCTTGTCAAGTGATGCATTTTATACTTTGTCCCCATGTATCAGCTTCTTTGGCTAAATTTAACATAGGGTTGGACCTGGTACGATATGGTTTTTATAAAAAGTAAAATTAAGTAGCCTGTTGAATGCTTCCTCGTTGGTTTAACTTGGTTTAGAGGCATTTTACATTATGTTATTCAATTTAATGAATAACCTTTTAATCAAATAATAACCTTTTAATCAATTTTCAGCATAAAGGTTCATTCCTATCGAGTGAAAAACATATGTTTAATGATCAAACATTCACACCGGTTTTTTTTGTATTTATGTATTTCTTGTATTTATGCAATGGTTTTTTTTTGTATTTATCGTTATAGATAAAGCCATGTATTCAAAGCATTGTTGCATCGAATTTCTTAACTACTACATCTAAGTACAGGTTAGGACATGACTACTAGCTTTTCAAACGAAATAACTTTCTTCAAATTGGTCCAAATGATTTGAATATTTTTAAGATTTTAGTCTGACTAGTTTGCTAAAAAATAAGTAAACAAATTTTTTTAGGTTACAATTAGTTAGGAAGAAATTTGTAGTACGGATATTAAGTTATCAGGATCTACAAAACGCGTTTATTAAATTTTCATTATAGGCTCAGATAAAAAGGTTGAAAAACATTATTTTTCAATTTTTGTATCATTCCAACCAACTGCAACCTAAAAAAAATTTTTTTACTTATTCTCTAGGAAACTAGTCGAACTAAAATCTCAAAAAAATTCAAATCGTTTGGACCAATCTGAAAAAAGTTATTCCGTGTGAAAAGCTGTCGACATACTTCTCGTGGCGAGTGTATGTCCAATTTGAATATTTTCATTATTTGTAATAATATAAAAAACATTTATGTACAGAACTTTAATGCTACGGATAGGGTTGTAATACATTGATGCAAATAGTTTTTATGAACTATTGTTTGTTTGTAATAGTGTTTATGAACTATTGTTAGTTTTATGAACATACTCGCTCACTAACTGTAAGCGAGTATGAACCTGTTTTTACTGTGTAAATTTTGTACACATTTGTTCATATTATAAATTCATTTATATTCAAAGTGGACATAAATAATGTGCCACACTGTAATACCTATTACTAAGAGAAGAGAAATCAGGATCATTGATAAAAGTACTTACTATATTCGAAGAATCGGCATATTCGATTTTAAGAAGATCCATCGCTCGGATCATGGATTGCATGGCCATGAAAATGTTTTGATATACGAGTTTAATGAACCCCCTCTTATCGTCATCCGAGTAGCCAGCTCCGTGGATAATTCTCATCTGTTTAATAAAAGTGGATTTGCCGGATTCACCAGTACCTGTAACAAGATATTCGCCTCATTAGTTATGGTATCGACGTAAACGAGTATTTCTGGGTCACATGTGCCGCTGATTTCTCTTAGACTTTTTACTTAATCAATTCTTCCGTGTCATTTATATGCAATCTTAAGAGACTATTGTTTTCAAATGATTAGGGATATACAAAAGTTACCATCGTTTTCAGACCAACTTGCTGTATTAAAAAAATGAACGATTTGGGAAGAGGTGAATACGATTATTCCAGCCTCGCGGCTCGTTTTTATAGTCGTCGATTGTCAAGAACTATAAAAACAAGGCGCAAGGCTCGAATAATCATATCTCCTTTTTTTAAATTGTCCATTTTTTTTTTACAAGCTGAAGGACAATTGGGGAGAATTTACTGTATTCCGTATAAGGACAGCATTCAAAGACAGCGTTAACACCAGTTTCCAACAGTTAGTTACGAGTCAAAATGACCCTGCACTCATCTTCCACAACCATCGAAAATAATTTGTCTTCCGAAAGTTAACACCATTTGAGCTGTACAATACTTTTTAGTGAAAATATTTTCCACCATTAGCTATTACGTTTTGTCACCTTTCAGGTAGAAGACGGATTCCGCGATTTAAAATATCCTTATTTTTGGAGGCAATGATGCTACCGTCACATTTTTTAATTTCTTTGGCGTCTCGAAATCGTCATCCGGAAAGTTTGTGTTGCATGGAGAAAAACAAATGGAAATTCGATGGTGCCAGATTTTGGAAATACGCCGGGTGCGATAAAACTTCCTACTATAATTCCACAAGAGTTTCACCGTACGCATTACAAATTATTTTTGCTGTTTCAGACGCAGTTTTCTGTTGATTAAGAGATATGGTCCAGACAAAACCAGTAATTTTCCATCTAAAATTTTGAAAATATGCATTTTGATAGCATTTTTTACGCTGATTCGAATTAGGAGACAATTATTTTGACAACTCACTTTTTAGTTAATAACATGTTTTTTTTTTAATAAAACCAAAATCGAATCGAGAAAACTACATCCAATCTCTTCGATACCATGTACACAAACTGAAATTCAAATTTCAGCTCAAAAACTTTATCATTCGAGTTATATCAAGTTAAGTGATAATTATTAGCGATAATTATTAAATCTCACAAACATTTTTCAACTACTTATAGAATTACAAAAATGCCTATGCTCTCCTCCGCACCCGTAGAAAGATTATTTAGTTATGTATGAATGATCAATCTAACAAAAACTATCAAACTTTCCGATGCAACATCCGAAAAAAGAAAGATAGAAGAAATAAATCGATGAACTATCAAAAAAACATACTTTGTATTCCATCATTTTTATTAAAATTGATTTTCTGTATAAATTCCTGCATGAATTCAGTATGAATTCCATATGAATTCTTATTCGAATAAAATCTTATTAGGATAGATTGTTATCTACATCAATTTTGATTCGATAATATCAAACATTATTCGTTAATCTTTATCTCTTATCCGTTATCCGAATACAATTTTTGTCTAACTCTGATAGCTAGATAGACGGTCATAATGACAATAATTAATTGAAATAACTCGAACAATAATAGTTTTTAATCTGAAATTTTTACTGCACTTTGTGTATATGACGTTGAAGAAAATTGGGAACGGAATTTTCAATTCGACTTTTTTACATGGAAAGAATATTTTTTATTGTCAAAAAATTATTTGGCAAAATAATTTGCGCATAATTCGAATCAGCGTGAGAAATGCTATTAAAATGTATATTTTCTATATTTATTTACTAGTAGTTATTTTCTGCCTTGGCGCCCTCCCTCAAACAGAAAGGACATGCAGTGCCCAATATGCGTCTCAAAAAGTAAATTTAAACGTACGGAACACCTTTTCCTCCCATATCTGAATCGAGCACAGCTCGACAAGTAGGAGGATAGATATAGCGAGCGAATGCGAGATAGACGAAACACGTCGAGCATCGACGGTCGAGACTCGTCATTTAAGAGACACCGCGACCAGCAAAAGAGAAACGAAAAAAAATTTCATTTCCAGTAATTGTCGCTTACCTTCCCAATTGTAACTACAAACACGATGTAAATCGGGTCGATTTAAGTTATTCTCGGATTAATTAATAAGCGAACTACAGAGTGTTCCAAATGTTACTCGTAATCCGGAAATGAGGGGTTCCTGAGGTCATTTGAAGTAATTTTTTACTTAACGCAAATACAATCCGTGGCATTGTTTATAGTTTAATAACGAAAAACACTGACTAATGAGAGGCGAGCTCGGTTGGCGCAAGGCGGCCAAACCAACGAGCAGACGATACCCAGTTCCGTTCATTGACTCGGCCACCTCGCGCCAGCTGATCTCGCTTTTCATTGGTCGCTGTTTTTCGTTAATAACTCGTAAACAAAACCGCGGATTGCATTTGTGCTAAGGAAAAAGTAAATAAGTTCAATTGTATTTAGACTGTTTCTAATCACAATAATCTAAGCTATTCGCTGGTGCCACAACTACAAAAGTAAGACGGGAAATACCGAAAACGAAGTTCTCTTTCTTGCATGTGTACTTCCTTTCCAGTCATTGCATCATATTGGTGTATGTCTCTCTTTTTACCCTTCACTACAGTTATTCTCGAGATAAGGTCTCGCTAAGCTCGAGGCACTGTGATGCGAGTGGGACTGGGTCGTGTATATTTAACCGTACGTACGTACGTACAAGATAAATTTTTTTTCACCCTGTAAATATGAATTCGGTTAGCTACAAAAAACTATGTAAATATTGTTCGATGTTCCACGTCTACAAGAGTGTATACAAAATTTGATAAAAATATACATAAGTGTATCGATTGAGTAATGTCCTGTGGTAGTCATACTAGAATGACCCACCATTGGGTCACGGTGTTCTGTTAAGCTTTTATTAACTATGGTATGATTGCTCATCGATACGTGAACATCGTGACGCACCTGCGACCATGTTAATTGATTAATAAAAAGAGCTACAGACAACATGATCCACAAGTGGTCACCCCACGATAATTGATTAAAAGCCCAGCGGATTCCATAATCCACCAGTAGCCACCTTGCCATAATTAAACAGCCTTTGCCGATATCGTAACTTATCGGTGGGTCACCCTGTTGCAAGTCTTATAGAAAGCATGACCTAGCAGTAACCATCTTCCATTAATCGATACTACGTACATAATATACCAGAATGACACATGCATGCCAGTCGTGCTGGGGTTTTTAATTATTTTTCTATCGTCGATCGAAAGAGACTCGTCCTTCCGAAATATCAACTCTTCGTTTCGCTTGAACCAATTGCGGTCCAACGTCAGTTTTTGAAACAAAAGCACATGGTGTTTATCTCTATGATATGGACTTGGTATGTATGGTGTTTTAGGTGTAAAAGGTGCTAGACTGCATACCACAAACATCAAACGACTTTTGTATTTATATTATATACATATTTGATAGCAAGAATAAGAAAAGCCTATGTGCACACACCCGTTTTACAAATCGATACGTCTAGTTCATTCAAAATATCCATTGTATTTACTTCAGTAACACAATATATGTATTACATTTCTCAATAATATCTACATGGTGTGCCAAAAGTCACTCGTAGTCGGGAAATGAGGGGTTTCTGAGGTTATTTGAAGTAACTTTTTCCTTAGCGCAAATGCAATCGGCGACTTTGTTTACGAGTTACCATCGAAAAACAGTGACCAATGAGAGGTGAGATCAGTTGGCAGACGGTCATATGTTTTCATAGTCAATACTTGAACTTAGTTTGTAACATTCTTTTGAAATTTTTCTTTAGCTCAGAAACTGTAAATATAGTACCAAAGATGTCCTCAATAAGGAAGCGGAAAGCATATGTTGGAGATTTGCAGAATTTGGATATACCGAATGATCATGATAATTGTATAGTCGTTGTTAATATAACAATTGTTAAGACAAATAAAAAAATAAAAATATTACTATCTTATTTTGTATAACTTCTATAATATAAATAATCAATAAGTGTAAATGTATAATTTATACGTGTAGTTAGATTAAGTTTTAGGATTTGGTTGTAGTGTTTTCGTCTTAGTTTAAACGTCAATTTTGGTTATTAGTATATTACTCTCGTTCGTACATCATGTATTTTCTTTTGTACAAATGAGCTCTCATGCACACACAGTTCGTATAATAAAAATAATAATAAAATAATTTTTTTCTAAACGTTTATATATTGATATCACGTAATGAAATATCGGTATATTATTATCATTATATTATTATATCACTTATTATACTATATTATAAATTTCTGTTATATAAATATATTATAATATTAAAAAAAATTTCGTCTCCGTTGGCTGCCGGCTTGGCTCAGGTCGAAATGAGGTAAAATTATATATTTTTCTGCAAAAGCTGTTAATGCAATTTTGGTTGTTATACAATTGAATGAAACCAAATTCAAAGTCAGAGAGGCGGCTTCTTTCAGCGCCATAAACCGTTAGACACAACATTCAGCCAAAAGTCACTTTTATAAACATATGACGCTAAAAATATGCTGTTGATTCGTTTAAATTTTAATGATTAAATGTACTTGCATCTCATTTTGATTTCACAACTTTTTATTGTATGTCTACCTGTTACTTTCTTCTAGACTTTTGTAATTGATAGAAAAGGGAAATTTAAATAATAAAAAACACATATATGATGTACTTGCAACTCATTTTGATTCAACTTCTTTTTGTATGCTTCCCTATTACTTTCTATCCCATTATATGAAAAAATTAGTTCATAGTAATTTTTTCTTATCGATCTTCTTTACGCACTTGACGTACTTTTGTTCACTTCTTTTATGAAGTCCTTTTAAGGGTTTGTATCGACTAGTATTGTAAATTTTAATATTTAAGGTATCACACAAATATATAAATAAAGGATATTGTTTTCTAAAGGTGAATAAAACTTGTTAACATAATTACATATTATTTATTTATTAGTAATATGTAAAATTA